TTTTTTTTTTTTTTTTTTTTTTTCGACTTCCCGGCAGTGAAAACCTACCTACTCCATCACCGTTTGACCATACATTTGATTGGAGCCAAGACCTGATACTGCACCTCTTCAACCAAGCTTCTTGTACTCTCGTTTCAGTGGAGCCAAACGAAGGTCTGTAAAAATGGCGATGTCTCTGCTTTCTTTCTTCATCTTTACCTTCTTCTCCATTTCTGCCGCCGTATCAACCGGTTCTCTGCCTCAACCTGCTCCAAAATCCTTAACAATCGGCTATATTCAGGTTCCGTTTATCATTTTACCTTTTACTTTCTTTACTCAATCGATGTGCTTATCTGAGGTTCTCTGTGAATCAAACTGACTCTGTTGTCTTCTTCTTTGGTACTTTCGGGTGAAGAAAGCGGGAGATTGCAACTACAGGGTCAATATAACAACAAGCTGCTCTTCGCCTTTCCATATTACTGCTGAAATCGGTGTTCTGTTTGGGGATGCGCATGGAAATCAGGTTCGTTCTTCGGGCATTTTAATTTAAATTATTTTGCAATTAGTTCATCTGCTGAACATTGTTGACTCTAGAGGAGAAAATTGAAAGCATATTGGTTAACATTTAAGCATCCAAGGCCAAACAGAAGTCTATTCCTGATTTTCATTGAATATGGCTGTTTTCCTGCTATGCTCTATATTATAGTCAAATTTTTTTATATTGGAGTTTTGAATTGCAAGAAAAAAAAAACAAATAACTAGAATTAGAAGCTTGCAATCTGTGATTCTATTGAATGGATACATAGTTGGTTTCAGTTTAACTGGAATTAGAAGCTTATAATCAGTTTTCAAATATGTTTATTATTACAGATTCGAAACCAAAAACAAGAAATTGTTTGTAGAATAAGAGGTAGTAGCACTGTTAGTTTCCCAACTTTCAAATGCTTTATTAGTTCCTCAACTTCCAAAGTTTGTCTTAGTCTCTACAGTTTACATACATTCATAAGCTTGATATTTAATCTGTTACACAGTGACTTTAAACACTTAGAAATGTGATATTCAATTGAGAGATGAACAAAACATGTGGGTATGGTAAGACTTCATTAAATAATGTTTAAAAGGATGAAGATGGCTGATTTAGAAGTTGGAAAGCAGATATATGAGCCAAAGCTGGAAGTTGAAAGTAGCAAAGCATTTGCAAAATGCAGCAAAGACATTTTTGAACTGACAGGGCCATGCACAGACCAGATATGTTTCTTTTACCTTTACAAGAATGGATCGGACGATTGGATTCCAGAGACTGTAGAAATCTCCAGCCCTGATATTGACACTGTTAAATACAAATACAACTCCTCAATCCCAGACGACACATGGTATGGCTTTGATGACTGCCAATACTTCACACCGCCACCGCCACCGCCACCATCTCCGCCAGCCCCCTCCACAGCCGGCCATCTGCGGAGGTTGAAATGGCTTGCTTTTGTGATCCCTGTGCTTCTTAGCAGCGCTGTGCTGTGAGAGTGATTCTGCATCTTGGCCATGGGCGTGGTTGTATTTTTGATCCACCGGTGTGCCTGTATTTGCTTTGTGTTTTTTGAATCTTTTGATGATCATATCAAGGTCAAAGGAATGCAGTTCATCTTTGATATGCAGAATGGGATTTGATGGAGGAATATCTGTTATGATTAGTACCTTCTTCTTTCTCGGCTTTGAGAGTAGAATATTAATTTTTGTTTAAATATTTGCTTATGCAGAGATCTACGAAACATACTAAATTTTTTTTTTTTACTATGAGAGACCCATTTGAAAGTTAAAAACATTTAAACCATTGAATTTATAACTTTCCCAAAATAAGAAAAAAAGAAAAAAAAAAAAAAGAAAAGAAAAGAAAAGAAAAATTGTGTACCTTTCAATGGTTGAAATAAATATGGGTGGCGTAGAATTTATGTCTCTGTGTTCTTCCGTATTCTTTTTCTTCTTCAAAAGCTCCGCAACGCTAAAGCCAAACACACAAACAAGGAGAAATGAAACGCGTTCTCTGTTTTCTGCTCACCTCCGCCCTCCTTTTGGCTCTCTTGGAAGCCACGGAATTGCTGCCCGAATCCGCTGAGTCCTTCAATTTAACCTATATTCAGGTATCAGCGTTCGTATCGGTTTTTTCCATTTATGCTGATTTTCAATCTCGTATCTTAGAACCATTTCGAGTTTCTCTTATTCCTTCTTGTTTGGGGATTTCTGATGTTAAAGCAACTCGGGAGTTGTTCTTATTCGGTCGTTATATCAACTAGCTGTTCTTCGCCTACGTACACAAGGGATCAGATCAGCGTTTCTTTCGGCGATGCTTATGGCAACCAGGTTTTCTTCGTTTAAATCTTCATTTTTTCCATTCATTTTATCAGAATACTAAGCCCTAGGTTTCTCGATCGTTCGCGATTTAACTAATTTCAGTTATTCGAAATGATCGATGAACGTAATCGTAGTTGAATTTTGCATCTGAGTTTGGGAATAATTTTACATTTGGCGAGGGATATAAAAACATATTAATATCGTTAGGTTAAAGTAATTGATTGATCACCTGTTGATTTATATGTTTCAGAACTTCAAATCAGATATTTATTTATTTATTTGTACTTAATATCTTAGAAAGATCCATAGTCATTAGTAAGTTGAGCAATATCTTGTAGCCTACTTAAATGTCTAGAACTTCCTAAAACATTTTTAAAGAGCGTCATGCCATGTTCGATCATTCAAAAACAATAAAAATGGTCTTTACTTTCAGATAAATTTAGGAATTTGACATGTTACAATTAATGATTGAAGAAACTTGTGCACCAGATTTATGTGCCTAGGATTGATGATCCATCCAGAAGGATATTTGAAAGATGTTCCTCTGATACATTTAGCGTAAGTGGACCTTGTGCTTACCAAATATGCTATGTCTATCTTTATCGCACTGGACCGGATGCCTGGATCCCAACAACGGTGAAAATCTCTGGTCCTAATTCTCGACCTGTCACGTTTAACTACAACACTGCCATACCGAACGACGTATGGTTCGGGTTTAACTTGTGTGGTCATGCTTCATCTTCAAACCGTATTTCAAGTTGCATATGGTTCTTATACGTTAGTTTCGTGTCTATTCTTCTGCTTTTTTTGTAATTTTATTGTATGTCAAAATGCTACTCATGTTCTTTTCTTGGTAAGAACACATTTTGATGTAGCACTCTTGTAGCATAGAGAACATGAGTATCTCACTATATAGCAGCATCAGGAGTGTTCTTCTGTATATTTAGTGATTATACACAGGCAGAGGCAATTCTTGGTGATTGAGCCTCTTGACTTGGGATAAGCTTTTGGATGTCTTGTTATGGAACTCAGAAACAGAGGATTTTTCTGGTTTTATTTACCTTTTGGATATGTTGGCCTTTGATTCATGTGTGATTCCCCTATTGTTAGCTTTATCCTATAATAATCTGTTTTATCAACCATTAAGGTGGGTAATAGCCTCAGTCTCTACTGATATATTAGAGGTTGGGGGGACGGAATTTGTTATTAAACGCGCTAATTACTATTATTATTATTATTTGAAGTTTATAAACGGTGTCTAATCATAACTCAATCCATCAAAATATTTGTAAATAAAGTAAAAAAGTTCATTTCATTTTTCTTTTGTAACAATTTTATCTTCATCCATGTATTATCCCGATATCTAATATATTTTATATACTAGTTGTATATTAATAATATATTTACTAATATTCTTTCAAAATTCATTTGAGTTATAAGGTTGATGTACCCATATTACTATATAATATATAAAGAATGTAAAAATTTATATTAGATGACCTTCAAATTTGTGCTTGAAGGAAATTTGACATAGGTTTTTATAACATTTGAATCATCAAAAAAGAAAGAAAAAAAATTCTTGGGGAGCAAGGAAATTGGTAGAAGATTCTGGACCTGAAACCGCCCCATTTGGCTTGGAATTTGGGTCTATCCGATATTAAGATGATGAGTCTGCTGATGCCCCAGTCCCGCCAAGCTGTCGATGCATCGGCTCTCCATGCCCGCCACGGTACGCATCTTAACTTCTCCATAAATCCGGATCAACCCATTTCACTTCCTGCCTTGTTGCTTCTTCCAGCTTCTTATCTCCCCCTTTTGATTCTACTTTCCCCTTCCCGAAAAATTTTATTCATATATTCATGAGTGAATTAGTTTCTGATTGATTCTCATCTATTGGATGACACATATGTTTTAATCTAGAGATATGAGTTGCTATAGAAAATCCCTATCCAAGTCTGCATTTGATGCATTTCGGAACTTGTCTTCAAAGATTTTTCCCGAGTTAATTCGAGATTCCAAGTCAAGAATTTCCCACGGTGGGTATTCGTTTACGGCTGGAAGACCGTCTAATTCTTATGGGTTTCAATCGTCTTCTCCAATTATACAAAGATTTGGAAGACAAGTTCGAGAGAATAGGAGGCTATACAATCCCTTCTTCGGTGATTCCAAGAGATTCTACTATGTCGATCATTACCGTGTCCAGCATTTTAAGCCCAGAGGACCTCGGCGATGGTTTCAGGATCCAAGAACCGTATTGGTTGTTGTGTTTGCGGGTTCTGGGGTTTTTATCACCGTGTATTATGGGAATTTAGAAACCATACCTTATACTAAACGAAGGCATTTCGTACTCTTGTCTAGAGCTATGGAGAGGAGCCTCGGGGAGTCGCAATTTGAGCAAATGAAGGCAGCTTTCAAGGGTAAAATACTGCCTGCTGTACACCCAGAAAGTGTTAGAGTAAGATTGATAGCTAAGGATATGATTGATGCATTACAAAGAGGGTTGAAGCAAGAGAATGTTTGGAGTGATTTAGGGTATGCATCAGAGGCTGCGATTGGAGCCCCTGAAGGGAGTGGCAATGAGACATTGATGGCGCTTAGGGACTCTGGGGCTGGGAAGATGGAAGGTAAATGGTACCGTGAAGACGAGATTCTTGATGACAAATGGGTCGAACGCAGTAGAAAGAAGGGTGAGAAACAGGGGTCCCAAGCAGATATCTCGCATTTGGATGGATTGAAGTGGGAGGTTCTGGTGGTGAATGAGGCAGTTGTTAATGCATTTTGCTTGCCTGGTGGGAAGATCGTTGTTTTCACGGGCTTGCTCGAGCACTTCAGAAGTGATGCAGAAATCGCAACTATTATTGGTCATGAGGTATGCTATAAAGATTTGTTCTTCAACTTACAACCTTTCACTTAGCTCAGCCTTAAGGTGTTGTTTTTATTAATTAGATTGGGCATGCTGTGGCACGACATGCTGCAGAGGGTATCACAAAGAACCTTTGGTTTGCCGTTTTGCAACTCATCCTTTATCAATTCGTGATGCCTGATATTGTGAACACTATGTCCACGCTTTTCTTGAGGCTTCCTTTCTCTAGAAGGTAAGAGAAGAGCTATATGGTATGGGTAATTTGTTGAATGAAGAAGATATAAAGGGGTAGTGTGTAATTCATTCTAATGGGTTCAGGATGGAAATGGAAGCGGATTACATTGGTCTGCTTTTGATTGCCTCTGCTGGATACGACCCGAGGGTTGCACCCACTGTGTATGAGAGGTTGGGTAAGGTGAGTGGGGATTCCGCGCTGAGGGACTATCTATCTACTCATCCATCGGGAAAGAAGAGAGCTCAGTTGCTAGCTCAAGCTAAGGTTATGGAGGAAGCACTTAGTGTTTACAGAGAAGTAAGAGCCGGACGTGGGGTTGAAGGCTTCCTATAAGACACACACAACTGCCCATGCCATGGGAACTTAAAGAGAAAAGCCTCCCTCCTGAATTTAAGGTATGGTTTTGATATGTTACTCACCCTTGAATTTGTGAGTTCATTGAGCTTTCTCCTCTATAGCTTCCACATTACCTTCCCCTGTTTCACATCCATGAATGGAGTCCCATTTCCACATCTTCCTCCTACGTTGGACTGGCGCAGTCTGTGTTTTGAAACACAGACTGTTTATCCAAATTTTGGCCCAGAGTCCAACAATCCATGGGCATCCAATTTTAGGCCTATTTCAACAATCCACGGGCCCCATTAATGGTCTCGGTTCTTTAATCTTGCCGGTGTCGGAGAAACTATGGCCCGTCGTTTCGAGGGTATGAAAGCGATTCGTGGGCAAATCGCAAGAAATTAACGTACCCAATTTCAAGAGCGTGATTGAGCATTTAAGCTTGCCGGAATCGGGGGGGTCCAGTAATAAAGGCGATTCCATGAGTGTTGAAGCTTAATGAAAAGGACGTGGAAGCGGCATTGATGACTCTGCATAGATTTGGTAACCACTCGTCTTCTTCTTTGTGGTATGAACTTTAGCGTATTTGGAAGCTAAACCCGAAGAAAGAGAGATATCATCGAAGCTAAACCCGAAGAAAGAGAGATATCATTGATACGTGGTCAGCTAACTTAGGAAATGATCCTGCGTTTATAGTTAAAGAATACTCTCCCATTTGTATGAGATAGAATTTTGACTTTTAAGGTTAAAAACTAGTGTTTTACACGTTACAAAAAAAGATTATACGTCATGTTTTTAGAGAATCTAAAGTGCAACGAGACAATGATGTCAGGTCGCAAGAAATTGGATGGAAAAGGTTGATAAAGTTACTGATAAAGTGAATTTTTACAGCTCAAAACGTGACTATAGTTCCCAATATTCTCCATCAAATGATCTCTTTCTATTCTTTTTAGCTTGCTTTATCTTGAATCTATGCAATTATCTGTTCACTATCTAAATGCTACCTTAATGAATCTAATATCTTTTCATGATTAGATTCTTAATGCATTATTAACTAAGTTCCTTTAGTAAAAAAATATGGTATCTAAAATGGATGCTGTAAATTTTGATTTTTGATCAAACGTTGTTGACGAAGAAGTTAAATTTCATAATTTCCGAAAGGAAAAATAGTAAAATTAAAAAGTGATGAAACCACGAGCCTCACTTGGATTTATTAGGCCAATGATTGATTAGTGGACAAAAGGAATTATTATCTCTCAAAAATTTTACCTCAAAAGATTAATTGAGGCGGTTGGATTGAATGGATCCAACGGTGGAACATGAACCGTACATGAATCCTGTGAAAAAAAAGGGTTCCATTTGATGATGTACAAGAAACCTTCATCTTCACAACCACCACGGGTGGCGGCGGCCCACCACCAGTCACGGAGGAGCTAAGCCAGTGCCTAATACAGTAAGGTTTCAACTGTGACCTACTTGCTTTTGTAGAGCATGTGTCGTTCTGACATTACCATGTTGAATGGGGTTTGTGTGTTGGTTACTTTGTTTTCAATTTTTTACCATGGAATAAAAACGATTTAGGTGCCAACTAGGAAGGATTGTTGGGAGGGAGTCCACATTGACGAACGATCGTCGGTTTACAAGTAAGGAATATATCTTTGAAGGTACGAAGCCTTGTTGGTGACAACATAAATATTTGGTAGAATTCTCAGTAGTAGACGGCAGGAGAGTGAGCATGGACAAAATATGTTCAAAGCACCCATGTCATATCTTCGATTTCAATCCAATTTTCGATCTCATAGGTGAAGATAAATAGTTGTCGGTTGTTGTGTTAATTTCTCTGATACATTTTAACATTAAATTCTACCGCAAGACATAGAAAATGTGATGGTGGGGTTTGAAGGTTAAAGTTTTAAACTTCACGAAGAAGGGAAATGGGTAAAATTGTATGAACTACAAAGATATTTTTCCAGGAAGGGTAGACGTTGATAATATTAATGGGATGGCAATAAAAACAGGGGACCATAATACATAACCAAATTAACTACTCACCACCAGTACTGATCTCCTCTCCTAACCCCCTTCAATTTTGGCATTCATGAAACAACCACTCTCCTTTATTACACACTCCCCTTCAGCATCGGAGCTCCCTCATTCCCTCTTCATTTCTCTCGCAAACAGGAGAGAACACTCCTTTCCTCTGCTTCCCTAATGGCTCACACTCCTCTGAAATGGCTGTGTTTGCTGCTGGTTTTTGACTGTTTGCTTCTTTCAAGCGCTCAGTTTATGAAAACTTATGTTGTTCAAATGGATAGGTCTGCAATGCCGGACTCATTTTCGGATCATCTTCAGTGGTACTCCACAGTGCTTACCAGTGTGGTCGTTAATCCTGAGAGAGAAGGCAATGGGGGAGGTGAACAGAGGATCATTTACAGTTACCAGAATGTTTTCCATGGAGTTGCAGCTCGATTGAATGAAGAAGAGGCAGAGCGGCTCGAGGAAGAAAATGGGGTCTTGGCCATTTTTCCAGAGACCAAGTACGAGCTTCACACCACCAGAAGCCCCAGATTTCTTGGGCTTGAACCAGCTGACAGCAATAGCGCCTGGTCTCAGCAAATTGCAGACCATGACGTGATTGTTGGAGTTTTGGACACTGGGATTTGGCCGGAGAGTGAGAGCTTCAACGATGCTGGGATGTCGCCGGTGCCGGCGCATTGGAAAGGGGAATGCGAAACAGGGCGAGACTTCACGAAACAGAATTGTAACAGAAAGATCGTTGGAGCTAGAATGTTCTACCATGGGTATGAAGCTGCAACTGGGAAATTTAACGAACAGTTGGAGTATAAATCTCCAAGGGATCAAGATGGGCATGGAACTCACACGGCAGCCACCGTCGCCGGCTCTCCGACAGCCGGCGCGAACCTCCTCGGTTATGCGTATGGGACGGCCAGAGGAATGGCGCCCGGTGCTAGAATAGCGGCTTACAAAGTCTGTTGGGCCGGCGGCTGTTTTAGCTCCGACATTTTGTCGGCTGTCGACAGAGCTGTGGCCGATGGAGTAAATGTTCTGTCCATCTCTTTGGGAGGTGGGGTCTCTTCTTACTATCGCGATAGCCTCTCCGTTGCAGCATTTGGTGCAATGGAGATGGGCGTGTTTGTGTCCTGTTCGGCCGGAAATGCAGGGCCGGACCCTGTCAGTCTCACAAACGTATCGCCATGGATAACCACTGTCGGTGCCAGCACAATGGACAGAGATTTCCCGGCCATTGTCAAGCTCGGCAATGGAAGAACAGTCACCGGCGTTTCACTTTACAAAGGAAGAATCACAATCCCAGAAAGCAAACAATTCCCAGTTGTATACATGGGGAGTAACTCAAGCAACCCGGATCCGAGCTCGCTGTGTTTAGAAGGAACATTAGATCCCCATTTCGTGGCCGGAAAAATCGTGATATGCGATCGTGGAATTAGCCCACGGGTCCAGAAGGGTGTGGTGGTGAAGAATGCAGGTGGGGTTGGGATGATTCTGGCGAACACGGCGGCGAATGGGGAAGAACTTGTTGCCGATTGCCATTTGGTACCTGCCGTCGCCGTCGGTGAAAGAGAAGGTAAAGCAATTAAGCTGTACGCATTGACGAATCGAAAACCGACGGCGACTTTAGGATTTTTAGGGACAAGATTGGGGGTAAGACCCTCGCCGGTGGTGGCGGCATTTTCATCCAGAGGACCAAATTTCCTCACACTTGAGATCCTCAAGCCCGATCTGGTGGCCCCTGGCGTTAACATCCTTGCCGCTTGGACGGGAAAAACAGGGCCATCGAGTTTGACGACGGATACAAGAAGAGTTAAATTCAACATTCTGTCAGGAACCTCAATGTCTTGCCCACACGTCAGTGGCGTAGCAGCTCTGATCAAATCAAAGCATCCCGATTGGAGCCCGTCGGCAATCAAATCGGCACTGATGACCACCGCTTACGTCCACGACAACACCTATAAGCCTCTCAAAGACTCCTCCGGTGCATCGCCGTCGAGTCCGTACGACCACGGCGCCGGCCACATAAACCCAAGAAAAGCCCTAGATCCTGGCTTGGTTTACGAAATTCAGCCGCAAGATTACTTCGAATTCCTCTGTACGCAGGATTTAACCCCTTCACAGCTCAAAGTATTCTCCAAATACTCAAACAGATCTTGTCATCACCTCCTCCCCAACCCTGGAGACTTAAATTATCCGGCCATCTCTGCCGTTTTCCCCGAAAAAACCTCCGTCACTTCCTTGACCCTTCACAGAACCGTCACCAACGTCGGCCCTGCAACCTCCAGTTACCATGCCGTGGTGACTCCGTTCAACGGCGCCGCCGTGAAAGTTGAGCCGGAGAGTCTGAACTTCACTAGGAGATATCAGAAGCTTTCATACAAAATCACTTTCCTGACGAAGAAGAGACAGAGTATGCCGGAATTCGGAGGATTAATCTGGAAGGACGGAACTCATAGTGTGAGAAGTCCGATTGTGATCACTTGGTTGTCGTTTGTTTGAATTTCTCCGATATTATATCAATCGTTAAAAGTTCTTCCTTTTGTTAGAATCATCATAATTGCAGGCAGTCAAAAAGAGGGGCCTTCAATTTTCTGATTCTCCATCAAAGTTCATAGCTTTTGCAATTGAATTTGCTACTAAAATTGCTCATTTGCAGAAACCAAATAACTATTAATATCAATGTATTACAGAGAAAAAAAAAAATTAATATCAATGTCTCAAGTTTCTTAAGAACTTCCATCTAACTTCTGTGTTCAATCTTAAAATGGCAAATCGGGCAGTGGGTTTAGGGTTTGAACGGAAAGTCAAAAACGGAGCTCTTCGGAGTTGGAACAGTCACTTTCGCCGTCGCCGTCACCGTCACGTCCCCAAATACCAATACCGCCTCTTTAACTGGCCCTCTACATTAACGCCACGTGTCAAGAGTCCTTTTTCGTCTCCAAGTAATATAAGTATATAATATTCTAGCATCAATGATCAATATATATATTCTTTATTCAGAATTTAAAATTTATATTTACATTTAGCTCAAGAATTTAAATCATATAATATAATATTTAGTTTCCGTACTATCTATTTTTGTTGGTTTGCTTATTTAATATTATCATATTTCTATGCTTATGCCTATTATATATGTGATAAGATTAAAAAAGAGCAGCCCTATAAGTCATAAATGCGCCTTATCTTTAAATATTTAATTTATTTTTATTTACGTTCAATAAATTAAGTTTTATAGACTAATATATACAAAATTTACGGTTTCAAGTGTTGTCACACAAAAAATTAATTTAATGTTTAATAGATATATTAATTAATGTTAAAATTTAATATATTATAGAATATTAAATATAGAATTAGAAATGGAAGATTTAGTAAATATTTTTAAATGCGGGAAGGAATAAATACAAAATTTAAATAAACGAGAAATATTGTAACATTCCATAAAGTTGGAAGAATAAAACTTTTCTTTGGTCAAGGCAGACGGCTGTAAGCCAACAACTGCCAACGCTAACTCCGTTCCTGTCAGATAACTTTCTGATGTGTCAACGTTGAACTAGACACGTCACTATGTGTGTGCTGGTGAGATCAGATTGCGCCACGTATGTTTCCCGTCGAAAAATAAATTACCAGAGAAATAAAAATAAAAACCCTAAAAAAGAAATATTTTCGGTGAAAAAGCATAGTCGAGGTGGGACCCCGGTTCTGTCGTTTCTGACAAGCCTGGTGTGGAAGTTTCTGATTGATCCACTTGTATCGACCTCGCAAGATGGGCCTACACATACCGAGACTTTTGACACGTGTCCTCGAGGAATAATTCTCGCGACACGAGAAATTGACTGGAAAGAGAGGAATTAGGGAAAGGGGATCGTCATGGGTAACACGTGTCTTCACAGCATGAAATGGAGTTCGGATGTAGACAGGTGGGGCAGGCTCTATAGCTGCCCGTATAATTAGAATTGCCCGAGAGGCTCTCTTTTTTCCTTCTCGAAGAAGAACAGGGTCGGGAAGGGAAAAATAATTGTTTTTCCCATAAGAGGAAAACAGCGACACGTTTTCTTCTAAGCGAAATTCCGCGCCGCACCGCATTTCATTACTTCGTTTAATGACCTCAGTCAGAGATATTCGACGGCGAGTTCCTGCTTCGGACGATTCCGATGATGGAGGTTTACTATAGAATGCCAAGCGAAGATGATGGAGATTCGCCGGCCAAATGCCGAGAGCGCGGTGCCGTAGAATAGAGATGCGACGATTAGAAACAGTACCGTCGAAGAAACGTGTGCGGAAGACGGACAGCGACGGTTCTCCGGAGATTTCATCTTCTTCGTCATCGGGGGAGGACGTGAAGACTGTAGAAGCTTCACCGTCGGTACCTCAGCCTGTGTTCGGGATGTTGTCGGTGTCCGGAAGGTCACGTGAGATGGAGGATGCAGTATCGACGAGCTTATGCCTTCTAGGTCCAGGAAATTTCCGGCGGCAACCGGTGCATTTCTTCGCCGTCTACGATGGACATGGAGGCCCTCACGTAAAGCCCTAATAGAGAACTCAAAATTTATTTTTCCAGAAAATAGGAAAAAAATGGACGTGGAAAATACCATTGAGCTCATGCTGAATCATTGTATCTAAAAGCAGAAAGTGGGGTTATTATTGTCATTGTACTGGTCTAATTTGTTTTGTTCTATGGATGGATACAGGTGGCAGCGCTATGTAGGGAGAAGATGCACGTGTTAGTACAAGAGGAATTGGCGCGCGTGGTGAGTGGCGGCGGAGGAAGCAGTGCGGCGGAGGAGGCTAAGGTGGAGGAGGAGGCGACTTGGAAAAGAGTGATGCGGAGGAGCTTTGAGAGAATGGACGAAGTGGCACTCAGTACTTGTGCCTGTGGAAGCATCGGAGGCCAGTGTAGGTGCCATCCAATGGAGGTGGCTCTTGGCGGCTCCACCGCCGTCGTTGCCGTGCTCACCCCGGATCACATAATGGTCGCCAACTGCGGTGACTCACGCGCCGTCCTCTGCCGAGGAGGAAGGGCCATTCCGCTTTCCAATGATCACAAGGTTTTCTCTCTGAGTCTCCCTCTCTCCCGAAACGTATACTGTATGAACTGCTATCCCGACACGTGCAGTGCAATCAATTTTTGATGAGCTGATAACACATTTATCTTAAGAGAAGTGCATTTTAGATGGATAGTGTGTTCCACTATTTTATTCTGTTTCTTGTTCAAAAATAGTGTTGGTCTATTTAATTTCACTGTTTTGTTGCACGGCATCTTTTACAGCCAGTAGGCGTTCATGATGAATACAATACTCTCACAATTTTCTTAACTTTCCCCAGCCTGATAGAAATGATGAACTAGCAAGAATCGAAGCTGCTGGAGGACGGGTGATTTTCATAAATGGAGCTCGGGTTGAAGGAATCCTGGCAATGTCCCGTGCAATAGGTAATAACTACATCTCCCATGGCATTATCTGCTTTCGTGAAGTTGCTTAAACATTCCGAGTACGATGTGTTTTGATTCCACTCTATGATTATTGCATATGGGTCATCTGAAGAAATCTGATTTTGTTTCTTCTTCTGACTCCCCATTTCCTCTTGGAGCGTTGATGTGATGCTTGATGAAGCCATGTGATACTTCTGAAATTGGGTACATGACAACATTAAATTGCATGGCATAAATGTGAATCATATGTTTTGTGAATGATTTTGCTGCATTTTTTCATCTACCGTTTGTTGGCATGACTGAATGGCAGTGAATAAAGACAGCAAAATTTCCTAGGATGTTTGTAAGAACTTCTACTTCGAAACTCGTATGGTCTAGAGTAAAATATTTTGGCATAAAGGGTCCATCAGTATGGATTCTAATGTCATGCAAACAAGAACAACCTTAATAAAAGTAGGAAATACACTTCTGGTCCGAAGTTTGAGGTAGGTTGTGTTTGAGCCCCTGAGCTCTCGAACCTGACATTTTAGACCTTGAGAATTGGGATAATCTCGCTGTTGTTCCCTACAATCTACTCACTTTCTAATATACAAGGATGAGCTATTCTTTTTTCAAAATTATTTTTTAGCTTACATGACTTGAACATATTAATTTTTTATTTTCAAGTTGCTGAACGGCAAACAAAAAAACATCTCTTTTTGAGATGTTTTCTATAAAAATACTATTTTTTTTTTCTTTTTCTTTATCCCTCATTCCACCATCTCTTTCACCCCATCCATGGTTGCCATCCGCCACCGTTCTCTTTTTATTTTTACTCTCTTCTTCTTCTCTTTCCCCTTTCTCCCCATCTTCCCCCCCCCCCCCCCCCCCC